TTTTGTTCTATTGGATTTGTTCCTTCAGTTAACCTTTTGAAAAAACTTGTTTTACTGCTATTAGATAGACATCTTTTCACATGTTTCTTCCCTTTGGCATGCTGCTTTATATTTTCTATTCCATTGTTTGCAATGCTAAAGGACTTTGAACAAACTTTACAAAATCTTTACAAAATCTTTTTTATCTTTTTGCAACCAGCATTTGAACTCCTCTTCAATGAGCCGCAAGTCTTGAAATTTACTTTTATACTTAGGCATTGTTTATACTTTTCTAAACAAAAAAGAAAATCTATGTTATGTTTTTTGCTTTGTATATGTTTGATACAAATATTATTTCTAATAAGCCTAAAAAATTTGAATGATTAAATGATGTATATCTTGAAAAAATATCTAGCATGTTAATTACCAAGAACGTGGATATGTTAAAATTTTGTTTTTTCATTTGAATGTTGTCAAACCTTCGGGTTGGAGCTGCATCACAAATATCAGGAAATAAATCTACCATTATGGATAAGAGAAACTTTAATTCGATTGCAAAATTCTAAAGATTCTATTTCAAAAATAAACTGAAAAAAACACATTATTCACAAATGACCTTTTATATTTCAAATATAAATTATGTGTTTCAGGTAAAGGCGAGTTTCCTCTCATCCGTTTTTCAACGGAAAAGAAATAGGAAGGGAAAAAGTAATCACGTGAGCAAAATAAAAGTTTTTATTTCCCCAAAAGAAAACTGCGCATGCTCACGTGATTATTTTTCCGTTCCCTTTCCCTTTCCTGTAGTAAAACGGATGAGTGGAAACTCACCTTAACATCCATCCGTACACGCGAATAGTAAAATATAACGAATCTTCTAGAAAAATTTCAAATTTTGGAATTACTTCTTCTTATAACTTGAATGAAGTATAACAAAAATTATCAAAAAATTCAATCTTCCATAACTTATTTATAAAGAGAAATGCATAATCGATAAAAAAAAAAAAGGTCCGCAGTTTTTCATTTATAAGAGACTTTTTTTTCTAACTTTTTGTACTTTAGTGTAATAATCAAGTTCATATACGTATAATTACCTATAATATTCGTCAGTATAATAATCCAATTCTGTATAATAGTCAATTTACAAAAGAGAAATTTCTGAAAAAAAGTCCCAAGATGGGGGGGGGAGGAGGAGGCTACAACCCCATAGCTCCACCCCCTTAAAACCCGCCACAAAAAAATCTGAATTTTATTACAATTGGGATGCCTTTTCAGGCATCCCAATTGTAATAAAATTCTAGTCTTGAAAAAAGACAAATTGAATGAAAGAGTCCCAGCCAACATTGACAGACGGGTACCGTATGGTTTTTGTCTGGGCTTACGGGAACGGGATTTTGACGGGTAAGTGTTTTGGTTTCCAGACGGGTCCCATATGGTAATAAAATCAAGCATATTTGCTAATTAGGGTTTTATCTGGTTTTTATCAGGGCCGAATAACCTGGGGATTTGACGGGTTTCCCATAAGGTTCCCGAAAGATTTTAAAAAAATCATAACAAAACTTACTCGATGGTTGCCATTTTTAATTCGTATTGTGCGTGAAATATTAAAAATTTAACTTTTATGCATTATATTTTTTGTTTACATTATATTTACATTGTAATTAAAGAGAAGTTTTTTTTTTGATGCATTTTTTCACCATTAAAAAAACGTTGTTTTAAAATTCCATTTATTTATTATCATTATAAAAGAATTTTTATATATACATATATATACATATATACTATTTTTTAAATGAATTTACAAAGTTCAACATATTTGTTGAACATATGTTCCAGAAACTATTAAACATGTAGTAAATGTTCCATTGAGACACTGTTTGCATTTTTAAAATGATCAAAATATAAAGTTTTGTTTCTGCTAGTCACTAGTTGAAACAAAACTTTATATTTTGATCATTTTAAAAATGCAAACTAGCAGCTAGTGATATAATTAGATAATAAATGGTTTGAGTTTAATCAAAATATTAGTTTAGTCAGAAACATTTAAAAAGAGCAAACAGGCGAATAGAATGTAATGGATAGGTTATATATAGGGAATTAAAAGCTTTTAAATCGTTTTTACAGATCCACTCTTTTCCATTGATTTTTCTATATTTTATGCAAGCAAAATGACTGATGTTAGCGAAGTTTACCCACCGTCAGTTATAAATAAAGATATAATTAGATGTTTAAATGCAAAAATATGACTTTATTGTTATGCATCAACCTCATTTTTCAATCATTGATATTTTTTGATTTTGATTTAAAATTGTACACTTGCAATATAAACAATAATTTCATAATATACAAAATAATAATTTATACTTACAATATCTATAGTTGTAAATACTTGTAATATAATACTTATGTTTATAATACTGATAAAACTTTTATTGATATGAACTTTTGCATTCAAACTTTAGTTATAAAACTTTAATTTAACTTAATAACTTTTACATAAATAACAATAACTAAAAAAAGATGTTAGTTATTATATAGATTATAACCATATGCTTATTTATTATAATTGAGTTACAGTAAGTTAAACAATATAAAATGTTAAGTTCCAGGCAATAAGTCTTATATGATATGTATCTTATGTATATCTTGTAATTTGCAGCATGTTAAAAAATATTTCTGCATGGTACACTCTGACTGTTGACAATATTCAATATTTGCATATTGATATGAGTAAAAGTGACTTCAACAACCAGAATGTGTTTTTGATAAATATTAATAATAACAGGTTAGTAAATGTAATTATAGTAATAATGGCAATAACTTTTTATTATTAGAATTAGTGAGAGACTTAAGTATAATAGAGCTACATTAACTTTGGGGGACAAATATAATAACTTGAGTAAATATTACCGTTGTTTATAACCTCGATTAGAGTAATGAAGTAAATATTATTTTTATCTAAAGAATATTCGGCAAAAGTCAGTATTTCCTAAGTATTAAAATTATAAAAAAACATGTGTTTAAAAAAAAAATTTTAAATGTATCATAAAATAAAAAAATTAGTATTTGAGTATAAAAAAAAACACATTTATTATTAAAATGTATATACATCACATTAACTATGTTGTCTATAAAGTAGGGGTTGCAGCTGATATTTCAGCTTCAGCTATAAACTCATTAGCTTTAGAATAATGCTAAAGCTGATCAAGTCAGTTTAATCATCTTGATAACTGATAGTAAAATAGAATAATACTCCATAAATATTTTATATAAAATATATTTTTATATAGGAATTTATTCAATGAAAATCTAAAATAGTGACAAAATTTAAACATACATGTAAATTTTAAATAAAATTAGCCAAAAGTTGTTGCTATTTATAAATGTTGTCATCAGAGCCTAGGCCTAGGACTTACAATATTAGGGGACCCAAATTATGTTTTTAGAAATTTGTTTAAAAAGTTTTGCCCAATAATCTAATTCCATTTTTTATTATCTTAAGGGGACCATCTATCTTTTGTTCAAAAAGAGTACATTTTGCAAGTATTTCATAGGTAAAAAAAAAAGGAAGATAAAACGATAAAAATCTAATTTTTTTTTTTAAACATATTTTTCGTCAGAATGGATTTTTTTTGCTAGATGAGGATGTTCGTCTAATAATGTAGCTGCATCCAAACATATTAAATTTCATATTAAATTTGACTGTTAAGAATGCATTTAATGTTTTTACAGAAAATTGCAACTTCTCACTGCTCCAATAATCATTCCTAAGTGAAAATATCTTTTCAACAGCAGCATTAGTGCCTAGACAACATAAAAAAATTTCTGTTAAAACTTTTAAATTTTCATGTGGGAAATGTTCTACTCTAAAATGCCGAAAGATTTCTACCCATCTTTTTTCAAGTTCTATTTTCTGATTGTTCCATTTCTCCAATTTTTTGTCATTTAAAAATAAATTTACTCTTCCAATTTCTTCAAAAAGAAAATTGTCATTAATAACAATATCTTTTACTTCCTTTATTACAAATTCGACTGCTGAAGAAACTTTTTTCCATTAAATTTTACTATTTATAAGGGTCCATTTAAAACAATTTAATGCTCTTAAGTTCATTATCCATTCTTCGATATATTCATAGCAAATTTTATAAATATTTTTAATTTCTATTAATTTTTTTTTTTTTTCCGGGATTGGAATCTGCCAAAGCGGTCAGTTTATAGGCTTTAATATAGCCTTTAATATTGTATATAGTGATGCATGTATATATTTTCTTATTTAAATTTGCCTTTAATTTCTTTTTTTATATTTTTCTGCAAAAAAAATTTTCTGTCACTTTATCCTTCTGAACTTATGTGGTTAAGTTTTTGTTTTCTCTTACATATTTTCTCACTCATTTTATCTCATCCGTTCATTTTTTCTTTTTTTTTTCATTTTTCTTTGCGTTACTCCTTTATATTTTTGTGTTAATTCTAGTTTTTTAAATAGTATTGTTCCTATAATACTATTTTTTAAATAGTATTGTGTATGAGTGGCATCGCTATTTCTTTAACATTATAGAACATTTAATAAAAAACTTAACTAACATAACTATACATGGCTTTTGTGATGCAAGCAAAAGTGCATACGCAGCTGTAGTTTTTATAACTGCCCAAACTCCTGATAAACAGATTCTAGGTAGACTTATTGCCAGCAAAATAAAGGTCTCTCCGCTAAAACCTATATCCATTTCTAAATTGGAACTGTCTTCTTGTCTACTGCTATCTTCACTTATGGCATGTGTAATTGAGTCTTTAAATAGTACCCTTAAAATAAAGAATATTTACTGTTGGAGCGATGCAATGGATGCTTTATGCTGGATAAAGAATAGTTCTGCAAACAGAAACCAATTCATTACAAATAGAATAACGAAAATAAAGAAAACATTCCACCTAATCACTGGAGATTCCGCCCTGGTAAAATCAATCCAGCGGATCTGCCCCCAAGGGGCCTCTCAATCCTTAAATCTGGTAATTGGTTTGAAAATTGGATGGATGGACCTGAGTTTCTTTATCAAGATCTCTCTTATTGGCCGGCAGAACCATCCGATATATTCAACAAAAGTAAAACTGACGAAATATCAAATCTTAGCGTGGTCGTAAATGTAAACCCTACGAAATTCAGCACAGAAAATAGTGAAGTAAAAGAAGCTCTTGAAACCAACAGCTTGAATATGCGTAATGTAATCAACGTTGAGCGATTCAGTTCGTTGCACAAACTTTTTAAAGTTACAGCTTATGTGTTAAAATTTATAATTAGTCTTAAGCATCTTATAAATAAAGCCAATTATCAGACAAAATCTCTTTGCATTGCGGATATTTAAAAAGCTGAAATTCTTTGGATCCGAACCTACCAGTGTGACCTTTCTAACAAAGTGGAAATTCTGAACAACACTTTAGGTCTCTTCGTCGACGAGGATAAAGTAGTTCGTTGTAAAGGACGGTTACAAAATTCAATACTGCCTTATAATGCTAAACACCCAATTTTGCTACCAAGTGAATCTTATTTGTCAGAATTATTAATATGTCAGGCTCACAAACGAACTCTACATGCAGGTGTAAAAGAAACTCTCTGCCAAATAAGGTCAAAATACTGGATCCTACGAGGTCGTAAGCTTGTACGCTCATTGATAAACAAATGTTCATTCTGTAAAAGGTCGTATGGGAAGGCTTTTACATCTAAAGTGTCACCACCGTTGCCTCACTATCGTGTCACTGCAAGTTTTCCTTTCCAGCATACTGGAGTTGATTATTTAGGACCATTGCACGTTAAACCGATATTCGATGATAATTCTACTAAAATGTATCCCGTGCACGTAGTGCTATTTACCTGCGCCACCACCAGAGCCGTTCACCTGGACTTAGAAACGTTTTATTGGAAGAAGAGGAATTCCAAATCTTATAATATCAGACAATGCCACATGTTTTAAGAATGAAGAAGTTAAATTAAGCGAGGAGCTTTTGTTGTTGGGAATCGATTGGAAATATATTATTGAAGCTGCTCCTTGGTGGGGTTGTTTTTGGGAACGTCTAGTGCAATCGGTCAAAAAATCGCTACTCAAGGTTGTGTTTAGAAGTAGCATCAGATATGACGAGCTAGAAACAATTCTTTGTGAAATAGAGGGTCTTCTCAACTCAAGACCAATAACATACGCTTACCATGAAGACACTGAGGAAGTTTTTACCCCTTCCCATTTGATGCATGGTCGAAGACTTATTTCACCTAACGAAACTAAAGGGGCAGATCTTGACAAGCTTGAAAGTAAGATTCAGTTAACTAAACGAATGAAATATTTAAAACTGATACGTGATCATTTTTGGGTAAGATTTACAAGTGAATATCTAGTTAATCTTAGAGAATTCCACAAGCAGGGATCCAGTAAGAGTCGATCGATTGAACTGGGAGAAATTGTTGTTATTCACTCTGATATTAAAAGGTACAAATGGCGATTAGGAAAAGTAGTGTCACTCATTACGGGAAGCGATAACATAGTTCGTTCTGCAATAGTAAAAGTCTTAACAGATAAAACAATCAAACAAAATTATATTAAGCGTCCTATCGAAAAGCTATACCCTATAGAAGTCAAGTCAGTCGAAACAGTAACTGATACAGAGCTAAACGCCAGCAACGATGCTGTAGATGAAAGTAACGATTTTTCTGATACGAAATACGAAAGACCTGTACGAATAGCATCAAGAAACGGAATACTAATAAGACGCCTAATGGGACAATTTTAATTTTGTATCTAATTTGTTTTATAGTTTGTTGAACGTTTTGTTCAAGGGGGGAGTGTGTTAGATCTCTCCGATGGAGAGCTCTAATATTCTCGCCAACCCGTTTTATGTCTTTATTATTCTGATATATTATACTAAAAGGAAAGCATGGCGTATTCCGCCATTTTTGATAATATAAACAACTATTCAGTCTAGATAATCAAAGCAATCACAGGGAACCAACAGTTGGATAGTCATCTTTCCCTATCAAAACAAAAAAGTTTATAAAAACTATCAAAACAAAAAAGTTTATCTGTGTTAAAAAAAACATCGTTCTCGAGTGCATTCTATCTTTTTTATTCGAGTTACTGTTGTAGTTAAATTACTTTTTTTTAATTGGCTTTAATCAAAACACCGTCTTATTTGTCAAAAGAGTTAGCACAATTAAAGTAGTCATTAAAAACAGTTAAAAAAATAGTTTCTTAATTTGAAGTTGGAACACTTTCGTCTATTAAAATACATTAATATATAATAAAAAATGGCAGTAACAACACTTTCAAAGATCCCGTTTGCGTTCAAATTCTTTTTAATCTTTTTAAATCTTCACTAGTAATGGTTTCGAAAAGACTCCGCAATACCAAAACGTGACAACTGTCACGTTTTGTTATGGCGCAATTAATTATATGTCGCAGTGTATTTTCAATTTAAGAAGCAGTTTCTAATGATATGCTCACATATACCATTATGCCATCAGATTTGTCAGATGGACCTGCCTCATTATAGTCGCTCATGAACATGTTTTTAAGTAAACTATTTTCTTACCAAAGTTTTTATTACACATTACACAAAATAAAATTTTCTTTCTTAGAAAATTTTTGTTTTACAACGTCCTAAAACCTATTATTTTTTAATATTTTAGTAGGACATAATAACCAGCTAAAACTTTTTCTAGATTGCTAACAGTTTATTCACAAAACTTAATGAAATAATTAGTAGTTTGTTTGAAGATAGATATGAGAGTTTTAAAATATACTTATTTAAATTTAATAAAACCTAAATCAAATATTTTTATCTCTTTAGAGACATCGCTGTGTCAGAAATCATAGAAGGATTCAATATTTTTTTTTTGACTAATCAAGATCATTTTAAAAACTGGAGAAGTGGACTCCCAGCCAACATTGACATACAGGTACCGTACGGGGCCCATACGGGTCGTCAACTGGGTCCCGTATGGGAAGACCAACGGTATCCCGCCGGATCATGGCCGCGGTTTCCATATGGGGCCCATATGGGTGAACCCGCCGGGTATCCCGTATGGGTCCCAGTCAAATCCCTTATTTTAAAACCGTAAGGGGCCCATTTGGGTTTGCAAATGGGACCCATATGGGAAACCCATCGGGAACCCGCCGGATCTTAACCTCGGTTTTCCTTTGGGGCCCATATGGGTATGTTCCGTGAGGGTCCCACGAGGTTTACCCATTGCAAATCTTGCAAAACTACGTTTAAATGTTTAAAATTTACAGAAAAGCAAATTTAAATATAACTTGATTGGTTTATCTCAAAAAAATAGTAACTAAAATTACACTGTCGAAATAAATCAAACTTTTAAACGATTCGTTTTAATCATGTATCGAATGCTTTCACGGTTATCACGGGAATCGGAAACTTTTCCATTAATGAAGAGTTATTAAAAATAAATGAATGGATTACGAATAATAAACTTTCATTAAATGTTGGGAAAACTAAATTTATGTTGTTCCACAAACCTAGTAAAGGTGATAACCTTTTTTTAAAACTACCTGATCTCTTTATGAACAAAAAAGTTATTAAAAGAGAGTCAACTATTAACTTTCTAGGAGTGATACTAGATGAAAATATATCATGGAAATATCATATTAGATCTATTGAAAATAAAATCTCTAAAAATATTTCAATGCTATATAAAGTTAAACCTTTTCTTAATACGGAATCTTTAAAAATTATATATTTCTCATTTATTCATAGTTATCTTTCCTATTGTAATCTTGCATGGGCAAGTACCAATTATGGGAAGCTCAAAAAAATTTATAGCAAACAAAAACATGCTTGTAGGATTATTTTTGGCGTTAACAGAACTGTTAATGGTGAATCTCTTTTAAAGAAACTTAATGTGCTTAATATTTACAAACTTAATATATACCAAGTTATGCTATTTACGTTTAAAACAAAACATGCGTTATCTTCTAATATATTTCAGTCTTACTTTACCGAAATATCTCATAAATATCTCACTAAATTTTCATCTGATAATTTTGTTATTCCAAGATCTTATTTAAAACTCAATTCATTTCAAATTCAATACCCGGGACTATTTACATGGAAAGGTTTTTTAAAAAATATAATTAAAAATAAAATTCTTTGAGGCATCTCCTAAGAACAATTCAAAAGAGAATCTAAACGTTTTCTATTAGAAAAAACTTTCGATTTTAAAGATTTCTTCTAAAATCACCTAAAATAATTAAACCTGAAAAAGTCATCACTACTCATTTACTATTGTCTTGTGTATCTTGTTTATTTCTTATTAAAATAAAAAATATATATACTATTAATTTTGAACAGACAAATAACATTTATTCGATTTATTACTTGTGTCTTATATTTGTCGAACTAATATTGTATTGTACTTCAATTTTTAACCTTTTAGTTTTTAACTTGTAACTTTGTGACGTTAATGTAAACGGGGCTTGGCGATAAGACAGTTTATGTCTTCTTCTTGCTCCGGCCAATTTTTATACATGAATGGTTTTTTCTCATTGTAAATTTAATTATACGGCAAAGAAAATATAATAATAATAATAAAGTTGCTAAAACGACTTCTTTGAAAACCTCTTTACACATTATCTCGTTTCAATATGAGCTTTAAACAAGTTTAATTTAACTGTTAGTTTTCAATTTTATACATTATTTTTAATATGTTATAAAAATCTTACGATTTCTTTTAACACTCTTCAGACAAAAAAATGTAATTTTCACGATTGAAGGTAGAAAAACATAATCTTTAATTTTATAATCGTCGTTTTAAAAAGTAGTTATAATAGATAAGCACATGCTTTTGATTCATATAATAAATTGATAACATTCCTTTAGTTACTGATAAATAAATTATATAATACTATTAAATAAATATAGTTTTATATTTATATTGTATATAATTTGATATATATTGTATATCACTTATATGCAGTGTATATATTGTATATAACTTATATACAGTGGCTACTAGATACAAACCCCCCTCCCATTCAAAAAAAAACACGTCATAAGGGCCCCAAAATTCCAATAATTTTCCGATTATACTAAAAAAAAAAAATCCTTAGATTTGTAAAAGGGGCCCTAGATTTGCAAATAAGCCCCTAGACAAAGCTCTGCCTGTATATATATATATATATATATATATATATATATATATATATATATATATATATATATATAAGGACTGTCCAGAAATTATTACACAAACCAGAACATAGCCTTGTGAAGTTTTTCCCCTTACACTATCAATTCTTTATTGAAAAACATTTTTTACAGTTTTATTTTAAGTCTTCTAGGGGTTGCTCAAAGCTCTTGAACATTTTAACTAAAATATAACAGAAAATGTATTAAAACGCTATCTTACTTTTGTTCTTACTTGGTCTTACTCGATTAAATTTATTAAAGTAATTATGGAAATTGTTATTTTTTATATAGTAGTAATATGATGCACAACTTTTGCATGTTTGTTTACGTTCTACATATATTTCTAGAAAATAATTCAATATTTTCATAGTTTTTAAGGTCCAAAATGAGAAAAAATGTCGAAATTGTCACTTCAAGTTAGTAAGTTCAAGTTATTAGTTTCAAATGTTTAGTGTTTTTTTGTCAAAACTTGGAAACAGCTTCCGATTTGTTCCACACCTTGCAATAGCCATGCTCTCTGTTGTTCATCTGTTGTTATTATTGTTGCAAAATCTGAGATTAGTTTGACGCATCGTTCGGCAGCATCGTTGACAACTTACTGTTCGAACAAACTTTTCAGCAACTTGGAAGTCTTCATCTGCTGCCCATTGATTCACTGGTTTAGCAAGCCAATCTCTTCTGATGTTGAGATTCAGGAACAACAGATGTTTTTCCGGTCCTAACAGACTCTTCAATGTTGTGTTGCGTTTGATTTGTCTGAAGATCGGTTTACCCATTCAGAAGTTTTCAGGCACTGCTATTGTCCACAATCTCTCTGCCATTTCTTGCTTAACATGGTCACTCATTTTAGGATGATGACTAAATAAAGCAAAAGGAACTACTTCTTCAGTGAGGTACCATCGATGGTTGTTTAGTTTGGCTACCACAACATCTGCAATTTCTCTGTCTACATTGCGGAAATCCATCATGTCATGAATGAGTTCTAGATCGTTTACGGGAGCATCGGCTCCAATACTGGCTTGCATCCATGCTGAGGTGTAAAAAAGAGCCAAGAATCTGTTTATACGTTCCAGTTTAATCATAGTTTCCTTGTCGTATTTCATTGCTTTTGAAAACATGAACATCTTCCCAGCATATATGTTGCAAGCCATCCAATGAGCCTGATGTATGGCTCCAGGTTTGAGGAAATGGGTACCACGAGGTGGTGTTTCACCCAGAACAATATGATTATTTCCTGCGCACTCTCGGTAGTCATCCCGAGGAAACACAGATGATTCCTTGCTATTGAGCAGCATTTTTAAAATTTCAATGACTTGTTCTTTAACTTCCAACAACCATGGATTTTCAATTTTCAGTAATTGGATAGGTTATCGAGACCTGACCATGCCTCTTTGAAGGTAGCATACATTTTGTTTTTTGGTCCTCTGATTTCACCAAACAGTGCTTTCCAAACAGCGCTAGCTACAAGTTCAAGGATATGGTGACGACAAGCAAGATAAAATAGCTTTTTATCAACAAGTTCTTCGATAAGTTTAGCTGCACCCTTATGGACCCCACTGTTGCTTGCTGTAGTATCAAATACCAAAGCG